CAATCATTTTTGGCAAGGAATAGTTCTAAATTCATCTCTGGGATGGTTGCCAAGTTTGGTACTTAAATTCAGGCTCACTTTTATTACCCATGGTATTATCAACAGAGTGAAGTATGCTAATTTTTTTTGCTTCTCAGAAAGCAGAAAGGGAAGAATGGGAGGTCATTTTCCTCAGAAGGTGAATTGCATAAAATTACCTCTAAAACCTTTCTGTTTAAAGGGCAGCCCATGCCCCACAGCCCATGCCCCACAAGCCTCACAGAGCTCGTTTGAAATCAAGAATCAGGCCTCACCTACCAGATGAATCAGAAAGTGAATTTTAGCAAGATCCGAGGTAATGAATACGCACAATAAACTTTGGTCCAATAGGCCATAAGATTATAAAGGTCTTTTCTAAGTACCAGACCAGTAGAATCCAGTACTAAATGGATGAGAAGTGATGGTAGAACAATGCCTACACAAATTGAATTAAACTTTTTAAAAAGCTTTATTGTTCTGGGAAGTCTCTGTTTTAGGCTGGAACATTTTACAAGCAAGTCTACCCTTTGGCTAAGATCTGTTAGTAAAACTAGGATGTAGAACAAAAATAGTAGAATCACTGTTTTTCATTATCTCATTTTGATTCTTGAACCAAGACCAATCACTTTCTAAAAGCACTCTGCAAATATTAAATTTCTGTTCTCTCCTTCAAATGTATGTTTTACAAAAAACCTCTCTTTTAGGTTTTGTTTCTCCCTCCTCTTTTTTTGTTGCAGACTCAACCATAATTTCTCCAGTTTTTCTCCCTTCTCATTCTCACCACGGTGTCCATAATCCAAACCTCATGTTTTAGAACTTGATGGGATTCATATGTTTCTCACATGTCTCTCATACACCCCAGGGAAATGTTTCTAAGCACCCATCTGGAGAGAGTTTAGGCCCAGGGCAGAAATAACTCACAGACCTTGTCTTCTCATTAATCATCTGCATAAAAAAAAGGCATCTTGCTTTCTACAAAATTCATTAAAAAAATAAAGCTCCAGCAACCCCCTTGGGTCCCCTCCCACTCTGGGAGCTTTTCTGTCTTCTCGATAAATCCTGCTTTCTAAATAAATAAATAAATAAACCTCAAACAAGTAACTCAAAATGATCAAAGTTAACTTCTCATAGATGAGAAAGGAAGTAACCAAGTCATTCGATTTTCTACGGCAATTAAATTTTAATGTCCATTAAACAGTAAAATGAATGAAACTTGTGTTCTGCATCTGTAATCTCCCATCCTCTGGAAGGAGAGCCTAGTGTTGTCCATTTGTGAACCATCACGGAGGATAACTTGTAATGCAGTAACCCCAAATCTGAGAGGGTTTGCATATCCTGTTCTTTATCTGTTCCAAAGAAGTCCCCTGGAGGACCAGCAGGGAAAGACACTGGTTTATTAGAACTTATGGGAGTCATCGATGGCAGCCAAACGGTGAGGCATCTGAGCCTCGGGACAGTACAGCAAGCGGTTTTATAATCATGCAAGTTAATTATTCAAATTTCAATATGGTGTTTGCAATTACATTGATTAAGAGAGACGCCGCCTGCACTGCTTTCAGCATTGCTTGATCACCTGCACCTCAGGACTCATTACTGGGACTATGCATGCTTCATATGATACTTCAGAGACTGGCCTTGGCCAGAGGTCGCTTCTTGAGGGTGGGGAAAGAAAGAAGTCAGATATAAGGGCAAAAAAGTCTATGTCCAGACAATACCTCACAATACATTAGAAATGTTGAAGACTGAGAGAATTAACATTCACTGAACATCTGCTATGCACTAGCTGTGTGCTATACATTTTAAATTTGCCATTTTACTTCATCTTAACAGGGGTCCTAGAACTTTGTTATTATTATCCCCCATAGAGAAAAATGAACCTTTTTAGGTTTTAATTGAATAGCTTCTCGACATTGATTTATTAATCATTTGTCAAGATCTGAGAATTATCTGTCTTTAACATTCGTACCTAGCCTAGTTCTTAAACGTCAGAGTGGTCAGCAGCGTAAATATGATAGAGACAAAGAGGAAAAAGACAAAAAAAGGAAGAAACTTTATTTGGCAATCATGAGGCCTAGTTAAGGCCATGGAAAGGACTGTGGACTTTATCATAAGGACAACAATGGTGTGGTTTTTTGGGGGTGGGTTATTTTTATTTTTTAATTTTTATTTTTTGAGTTGGAGCTCACGCCACTGCCCAGACTGGAGTGCTGTGGCATGCTCGCGGTCACCGCAGCCTTGAACTGCTGGGCTCTGGCAATCCTTTCGCCTCAGCCTTCCAAATAGCTGGAACTATAGGCACACACTACCATGCCCGACTTATTTTTTTTTTATTTATTGTAGAGGTGAGGTCTCGCCAAGTTGCCCAGGCTGTTCTCGAACCTGTGGGCTCAGGCAATCCTCTCACCTTGGCCTCCCAAAGTGCTGGGATTACAGGCTTGAGCCACTGCGCCTGGACTAATGATGGTGTTTTATTGATCACCATACAAGCATCTCACATGGGAGTGGCATGTGCCAACTACATGCTTAGCACACAGTAGGGGATTAATAAGTATTTGTTGAATAAATGAATAAATATACATCAGGTAAATATCATATATAGAATTCCAGAAATTTGTGCGTTTAGTGAAGATAATGACAACCCCAAACCTCCTTCCTGTGAAGCAGCTTGCGTGCTTTTCAGTATGCAGAGAGTGTCTGTCTTCACACAATGCCACTTGTACCCTGAAAAGACACTGCTTGATTGATGGATTATAGAGAAAGCTACTTGAAGTGTTTGAACTTGGTTCACAAAGAGGACTGCTGTTCCCTGTTTTAAATAGGTTTTTTTGTTTGTTTGTTTATGAGTCGGGGTCTTACTCTGTCGCCCAGTATAGAATGCAGTGGCACAATCGCAGTTCACTGCAGCCTCAACCTCCTGGGCTCAGGTGATCCTTCTACCTCAGCCTCCTGAATAGTTGGGCTTATTTTTTATTGTTTATTTTTTATTTTTTGTAAAGACAAGGTCTCACTATGTTGCCCGGGCTGGTCTCAAACTCCTGGGTTCAAGTGATCCTCCCTTGCCTTGGCCTCCCAAAATTCTGGAATTACAGGCACAAGTCACTGTGCCCAGCCTTAAATTAGTTCTTGATTCATAGTTTGACATGTCTAGGAGGAAAAGCAAGACTTTTAAATAAGCAGATCAATGTCCTCAAAGCAATCCTCCTCTCTCAACAATATTTTTTTTTTTTTTTTTTTTTTGAGCTGGAGTCTCACTCCGTTGCCCAGACTGGAGTGCCATGGCACACTCACAGCCCCACCGGTGTCGACCCCCTGAGCTCTGGCAATCCTTCTGCCTCAGCCTTCCAAGCAGCCAGAACTACAGGCGCGTGTTACCAGGCCCAGCTAATTTTTTATTTTTTTTTTTTAATTGTAGAGACAAGGCCTTGCAAAGTTGCCTGAGCTGGTCTCGAACCCAAGGGCTCCAGCAATCCACTTGCCTCGGCCTCCCAAAGTGCTGGGATTAAAGGCCGGCCAATAATAAGTTACTTTCTATTCTCTTCAAGATGGAATTAGCAATTCCAACACAGTCCAATAACATGTGATATAGTGTGGTGAATAATTTTTAATTCAAAACAACAATTTCAATGTCAAAGTATTATGACTCAATATTTGTTAAGCATCCATTACTAACGCAGCATGTGACACGTACCTCTGTACTGATTGATTTTTTTAAAAATCCCATTTCACTTACCATGTGCTTTTTGCATTTACTGTGGGAAATATTAAGACTGCTGTCTAATCCAAGACCACTCAGAATGTGACAGGATGCTATTGTTAATTCCATATCCACAGTTCATACTCAAAAAGTGGTATAGTTCAATGAGGAACATGAACATGATTTTACAAATCAATTAGGTTCTAAAAATAACTTACAAAATCATTCTTCTGATAGGAGTATTGAGAAGGAAAGACAGATTGGGGTAGGATAAGCTACAATGGTAAAGAAGGCTTCATTGAGTAGATTCCACTACTTGGGGAAAAAAACACCTGCACTCACATGTTTATCACAGCACAATTCATATTTGCAAAGATGTGGAATCAACCTCAATGCCCATCAACTGAACAGTGGACAAAGGAAACGTGATATATATTGTCACACCACACACACACACACACACACACACACACACACACACACACACCCCATGTAATACTATTCAGCCATTAAAAAAGAACAAATTAATGTCTTTTGCAACAATTTGGATGGAATCAGAGACCATTATCCTAATGAAGTGTGAAGTAACACAGGAATAGAAAACCAAATACCACATGTTCTCACTTATTAGTGGGAGCCAAGCTATGGGTCCACAAGGGCATACAGAATGGTATAGTGGAAAAGTGGAGACTCAGAAGGGGGAGGGTGTGAAGGAGGTGAGGGACAAAAAGTCACCTACCAGGTACAGTGTGTACTAGCGGAGGTGATGGGTACACTTAAAGCCCAAACTTCTTCACCAAAATGCAAGGCATCAATGTAACCCAAAACCATTTGTATCCCTAAAGCTATTGAAATATAAATAAATAGATATGATAGATGATAGATAGACAAACAGACAGATAGAAAAAGGCTTAATTGAGATGGAAGGTCTCTGCTGGAAGAAGGAATTTTACTGGTTTCTTTAAAAGAACCTAAGTGTACCTAATTCCAAGAAAAGATAAAACCGCTATTCTCTGAACATGAATGGCCCACAGATATGATCACCAAAAATTCAAGAAGGTACTTCTGGTAATGTTAGACAAGACTCTGGAACCATTATGAGAGAATCTTAATGCAATTTATAACCAAACTATGACTAAAAAAAAAAACCCTTCCCAATGTTCCCACTATATTCTCTTGACCAGTTGCTTGGACACACATGCTGTGAGTCGCCCATCCTATTAGTACCAGTACTTCCTTCCTGCAGATTCATTAGCACTGAAACAATACACCATACAAAAGGATTTACATAAAAGACAGCTGGAGCCGGTTGCCAGGGGAACTGACAATGTTCCAGACACATTCCACATTAGGGGGATAAACTTCTGGGTAGCCAGGGCTGTTGAAGATGCCTTCAGCCATGTGGAAGCTTCCACCACAAGCTAGAAGAAAAGAGAACTAAAGTGAGTGTCAGAGCGAAGATCGAATGCAAGACACCATAGGACAAAAGAGAAAGAACACTTGAGCCATTATCAGCATGAAAGGATTTAGTATTTTCATCTCATATTAAAAAACAAAAAACAAAAAACAACTCATGACATATATAACAAGAAAAAGATTCTGCAAACTGGAGATCAAGGGTATGCAGTATGGTGAATCAGAAGGAATCTCTGGTGTTTTTTCTGAAAGACCTTTCTCCCTGTGAACCTTGACTTAGAGTGATACAAGACTTGGTTTTATCCTACAACCACTGGGTTTTTTTGACCAGGATTATCTCCAATCTTGGTTTAGAACAGAAGGCAGTCGTCTAGCATTTCCCTCTCAGTAGAGCACTGGAATACCCAGTGCTCCAGTTTGTAACTACTAATAATATGAATGCCAGTAGTGCTCTCCCAGCTAAGAAACCCAGTCCCAGAAATTCCTCTTTCCTTTCCTTCCCAGTTGCAGCTGCCTTAGCAAACATGTCCTAAAGGGGAATACCAGGTCATCTAAGATCAGGAAGTTTAGCTAGAAGACAGCCAGATTTCCAACTTATTCTCCCCACCTCTAGAATTCACTGTTGTTAGAATTTATAATATGTTCACCTAATTGGGAAGAAACTAAGGTTAGGCAAAGAGGTGCTGAACTAGCTCCCGACTTTGAAGGTAAGAGAGTCCCAAACAACAAACCAAGGATTTCTACCACATCTCTGTTAACCTTCTTACCCGATGCTGAGGCAGCATATGTGGCATGGAATCCATCAGAATTCACTCCAGAATCAGAGACAAACCTCAGCGTCAGGGCACTGCTGAAGGATGTGATGGGGTGGGGCATGGAGGTGCCACAGTAACGGCCTAAAAAAATGAAAACAACAAGGAGAATGAACGATGACATGGTGGAGGCCGTTATTTCTCATAAACACATCATTACTAGCATTACAAGAGACCAAAGCCAAAAGAAGAAATCAGTTCTAGTTGAACCACTTAAATCAGGATCAGTGTTTGAGACAATGCCTGAGAATTAAAAATAAACTTGACCAGGCACAGTGACTCACACCTATAATCCTAGCACTTTGGAGGCCCAGGTGAGAGGATTGCCTAGCCCGGGGGTTTGAGACTAGCCTGGACAATTTGGCAAGACCTTGTCTCTACAATAAGTCAAAAATTTAACTGGGCATGGTGGCAACCTGGAGTTCCAGCTACTTGGAAGACTGAGGCAGGAGGATCCCCTGAGCCCAGCAGGTTGAGGTTGCGGTGGCCAGGAGCGTGCCACTGCCCTCCAGCCTGGGAGACAGAGTGAGACTCCAACTCAATAATAATAATAATAATAATAATAAACGTTATGTGGTCAAACATGGTAGATGAAGCCTGTAATCCCTGCTCTTTGGAGGCCAAGGTGGGAGGATCACGGAGGCCAGGAGTTCAAGACTAGCCTGGCAACAGAGCAAGAACCTGTCTCTACAAAATCAAAACATTAGCCAACTGTGGTGGCAGGCATCTGAAGTCTCTGCTACTCAGGAAGCAGAGGTGGGAGGATTGCTTGAGGCTGGGAGGTTGAGGCTACAGTGAGCTATGACAGCACCACTGCACTCCAACCTGGGCAACAGAGCCAGACCTTGTCTCTGGGAGGCGGGGCGGGGCAGGGCGGAGGTAAAGAGAAGAGAAAACTATAAATAGGAGCTATAAATAAGAAAGATGATTTATAAACCTGAAAAAGGACAATATGACCAGAGGAAAAAAAGATGTCTAGGATCCAAATGTAACTAAAACAAAAATCTCCAGCACAGTAGGGACCTGCTCAAATAAATGCACTGATACTTTGAGTCAATATGGTATAGCAAAGAAAATGGATGCTAGAGTCAGACGATTGGATTCTGCTCCTGGCTCTGCTGTTTACTAGCCATGCGATCCAAGGCAAGTTACTTAAGTGCTCTGTGCCCCAGTTTCCCCATTTGGAAAAAGGGAATATTGAAAACAATGAAACCTATATCATAAGGGTATAAGGATTGAGTTACTATTTATAAAGTACAGTAGAATAATACTTAGCACGAGGTAATGCTATATAACTGTCCGCTGAATAATATGCTCTTATCCTTGGTCAAATGCTCATTGATAAAGCTCTCAGGCAATACAAAGAGAGGTGTGCATACAGTAGTGTTCACCGATTATGTCAGGCACTGCTGTCTCTGGCACTGTTCTAAGCACTAGGAATAAAGCAATGACTATAAACAAAACAAAGTCTCTTCTTTGATGGAGCTTGTCTTCTAGTGCAAGATGAGAAGCTTGTATGACAAACTCGAAAATTAGTAAACTCATGGAGAAAGCTTTAATGGCCTGAGATAATTTTGTGTAAGAATATTCCTGAAACTGAGACTGACCCAGTTTCCCCAAAGAACAGCTATATATGGGGTTTTTTGAATAAACCTAGATATTAACTCTCACAGTCTTTTAAAACTTACATTTGCCTTATCTAAGTTTCTTCCTCAAGAGACCAGCCCTCAAGCAAGGGACAGAACTTACCAGATCACTGTATCCAGATAATGAGATGTCAGACCCTTAACTCAGCATGATTGCTTCCTTACCCTTCCCTAATTGCTATTTATTTATTTATCGAGTTGAAGTCTCACTCTGTCACCCAGGCTGGAGTGCAGTGGCACACTCATGACCACCCCAGCGTCAACCTTCTGGGGTCCAGCAATCCTTCCGCCTCAGCTTTCCAAGTAGCAGGAACTACAGACACGCGCTACCACGCACAGTTAACTTTAAAATTTTTTATTGTAGAGACAAGGTTTCTCCAAGTTGCCTGGGCTGGTCTTGAACCCATGGGCTCAGGCAACCCACTTGCCTAGGCCTCCCAAAGTGCTGGGATTACAGGCTGAGCCACTGAGCCCTGCCCCTAATCGCTACTTTACATTCCTTTCCCCACTATATAAATAACCCCCAATTTCAATCAGATAGGGAGACAGATTTGAGATTGATCTCCTCTTCTCCTTGGCTGGTATCACCAATTGAAAGTCTTCTCCCTGGCAATACTCATTGTCTCAGTGACTGGCTTTCTGTGAGGATGCAACAGAACCTCAACTGAACCTCTGACACTTCAGTAACACAACTAGGTAGCAGCATTCTGTAATTTTACTGGAATGTCTCACAAACAAAAATGACAGAATTTTAATTGAATCAATCAATTCATTTCTTTTTTTTTTGCTTCCACTGAGAACAAAACTAGGGAAAAAAAGTGCTCAATTTGCATATAAGACTATGGTCAAATATAAACAAGAAACATCTGACAGAAGGCTATCTGATGTTGGAATGGACTGCATTTAACCATTCTCTAACAGTTGCAACTTTCACATTTCTTTTTTTTTTTTTTTTGAGTTGGAGTCTCACTCTGTCGCCCAGACTGGAGTGCAGTGGCCGCTTCCGGCCACCGCAGCCTCGACCTGCCGGGCTCCGGCGATCCTTCCGCCTCAGCCTTCCAAGTAGCCGGAATTACAGGCATGCGCTACCACGCCCGGCTGATTTTTTGATTTATTGTAGAGATGAGGTCTCGCTGCCCAGGCGGGTCTCGAACCCGCGGGCTCAGGCAATCCACTCACCTCAGCCTCCCAAAGGCGCGGGATTACAGGCTGAGCCACCGAGCCCGGCTTCACATTTCTTTTTAAAAAAATACACAAACTACTCATGCCCTTGAATATAAACAAGTTGAGTTCCTTGGACCCCACATTAAAGCCTGCTTTCTTACTCTCTAATTATCTTTACTTGGCTTATGCTGCTTTTCATATTTAATAGAAGCATTCTAACAGTGAATGGCAGCCTATAAATATGTAGATCTATAAATAAAACACAGCCAAGACCACAGATGTAAATGAGTGAAAACCACAGTACCTCGAAGGGGTGCGTCTTGGTGGCTGCCATCCAAAATTTCTACAAAGTCGTCTGTACATGCTGTGCTTCTTTCAAGTTCGAAGTGGTTAAATGAGAGGGTAATATGATTGACTGTAATAAAAAGAAGATTTTTATTTTTTATTTTTGAGTTGCCCAGGCTGGAGTGCAGTGGCATGCTCTCAGCCACCGCAGCCTCAACCTACTGGGCTCAGGTGATCCTTCCACCTCAACCTTCCAAGTAGCCAGAACTACAGGCGCGCACTACCACACCTGACTAATTTTTAAATTTTATTGTAGAGATGAGGTCTCACCATGTTGCCCAAGCTGGTCTCGAACCCACGGCCTCAGGCAATCCTCTCGCCTCGGCCTCCCAAAGTGCTGGGATTACAGGCTTGAGCCACCGCACCCAGCAAAGATTCTTTAATAAAGGACTGGTGAACAAACCATACAGGGAAATTTTACCTCCAGTAATTTCATGTGACAGCTCTCTAGCAGGGAGGTAATGAATGAGGCAGATTTGCACAGGAGTGGAGAGGATAAAGAGAGGGAAGGGGACAATTTCTATGCTAAAAAGCTTCCTTTGAAGAATAACAGAATAGATGTTTTTGAAAGTGACTGTGGAATCTGAAATGCTGACAGTGGTAATGGGAGTACTTGGGTAGGTTCATTCCAGGCACAATAAGGAATGTCTTGTTGGAAAATACAGTCTTTCCACAACTTTATATCAGCCATTGCTGTGTTCCTCTCATAAGCATTTATCTCAATAAAATCGTCTTCTTAAATTCTGATTCTTCACATGTGCTTGTAAATAAGACATTCTTTTCTCCCTGGCATTCACATTTTAGCTCACTCTGTTTTATTTTCAGGCCAGAGCTGGTGCCCTAGAGGTTCAGAGTCATTATCAAGAAAGCTTTGAATTACTTGCAGAACAGCTAGTGCCTGGGTACATTTTCCTTCTGTTGTTCTTGGGCTCCCTAATCTTCAGAACAGGATCTTTTCCTGTTGTTGTTCTCGACCAGTGAGATCGTTCATCTAAATGCTTTATAACTCATTAGAAAATAAAAACTGCTCGGTTCAAGGCAGGGGGCTTCGTTATCTACGGCTCAGTCTCAAGCTGGCTGGCAGGCAACTTTCTTTGGGGCTCCACCTCCCAGTCTGCAATTGGCTAACGATTACGTCACCAGCCCCCACATCTTCTGCATGTCAATAAAGATACTAAGAACTATCAACTTGTTAACTCCTGACATCCCTGGGGAAAGTGCTAGAGAATATTTCAACCAAACTCTTCATTCTGTAGATTGTTTTGTCACGGCTCAGTTAACTTAAGTGACTTGCCTGTATTCACACAGGCTATTAATTACAGAGCTGAATCAAGAACTTAATGCCTTTTCCACATTATGCCTGAAACCATATTTTCCTGAGAACTTCAAGGGAGGGTGAGGCTTATCTGAAACAGGATTCAGAGTGGCCCCAGCATCACAGCCTCCGAAACCTTTCCGTTGTGTCCTTGGAGATCATTTCTTCATAGTCTCTGTCTATAAAACGTGGACAATAATCCTTAGCGCTAGATTATTACTAGGTCAGAAAATAAGATTCTAGGATTCTATAAAGAAAATAATTTATGTTCCTTCCAGGCCTGTGTTGGGATATGTTAAATAATTCATACATTGCAGGAGAGAACGAGTTTTAGAATTCACTTCCACTTTGATTGATAGGCTCGTGGCACTGCATTCTCATACTGTCAGTTATTAATTCTCCAGTCTGTGGTTGTTACTCTTTGCTTAATCATTCAGCAACTGTCTTGAGCATCTACGACACTCACGGCAAACGTGTCAAAAACTATGTCTCTATTATTTTAGCTTACCCCCAATCTTATATGTCTGCCAATACAACATGACTGTGGTGTGTTGTGTTTTTTTCCTCTGGTTGCTAGGCCTTGAAATTCTTTTTTAAAAGAAAAGTTGTTTTTAAATTAAGAAGCACTTGTAGAAATTACTTCCTTAGGAAAGGCTCCTTGACCTGCACATCAGGAATTGGGTCAGACTTGCAAAAGAGGAGGAAGGCCATCAATTGTTACCAAGCAGGAGATAAGGAGCTGATAAGGCCATTGCTCATAGACTGATTTTCCCACAGACACATCTCTCCAGGATTCTCTTTCTCTTTTCTTTTTGTTACTTACATGGAGGTTGAGCTTGAATTGTCCAGCTGCAGTTCTGATTGTTTGGATACTTGGCAGGGAACAATGGAGAGGAAATAGTATCAGAAGAGTCCGTGAGGATGTAGCCTCCACAGGCTGGAAAACACACAAAATGAGAGCATAAATGATTTTGGCATAAATGAAAGCATGCCAAGGAACTTCCCTGCCAAGGAAGCTACACGTAAACGATAAGAAAATGGGAGCACACTTAACATATATAACAACATTCTTCAGTTATAGGAAGTAAGAAAGTGGCAAAAAAAAAAAAAAGAGAAAGAAACAAAGAAAGAAAGAAGGAAGGAAGGAAGGAAGGAAGGAAGGAAGGAAGGAAGGAAGGAAGAAAGGAAGAAAGAAAGAAAGAAAGAAAGAAAGAAAGAAAGAAAGAAAAAGAAAGAAAGAAAAACAAATAAATGGCTATGAATTGTCTGAGTCATTCAAACAAAATTCTGGCATTGGTTCACTTACTCTGCCCACTCATAAATTGTAGGTATATGGATAATCTGTTTTATAAATGAGTTTTTTTCCCCAGGAAAATAAATACTCAACTGGACAAGACTTCCTACGGATGACTGCACATTATCAGAGAAATGCAAAGCTCTAAGGAAGTCCAGTAGAGGGAGAGGCTGTCCTGCTGGTAGGCAAGGCTTCCACCGCTGGAAGGCGTCAGAGGGGTCTCAAGGAAGAGGCAGCTGGCAGAACCAGGGTTTGGAGGGTGAGGAAGGGGGAGCCAGAAAGGGGGGAGGCCTGAACAGAGACCCACAGAGGAGGGTAAGGGCTGCAGCTAGACAAGCTTGACCGGAGCATAGGGTACTTGAGGGTGGTGGGGTGATGCTGGAGAGAGGTCAGGGCAGGTTCTGAGGTCCCTGGTTAACAACTGGAGGGACTTGGGCTTCATTCCCCAGGCTGTGGGGAGACAGGACAGACATGGAAGCACTCAAGGGCATGATCAGAGCCGGATCTCTGCAAATGACTTTAGAAGAAGATGAGCCAGAGCAGGCAAGTTTGAGGAGGCTGTTATAGTAGTCAAAATGAGAGCTAGTGGAGACTTCTTACAAAGAAGCAACACAGTAGTGAATAATTATATGTATTAAAAAAGTATTAAGAAAATGTTTTCTTTCAAATCAACAAGAATTTAAATATATACACACACACATACACACACACGTGTGTGTGTCTGGCTCCAAAGTCTATAATGCATCTTTGAAAGACCTTGGTTCAGCCAGGTGTGGTGGTTCACGTCTGTAATGCCAGCACTTTGGGAGGCGGAGGCGAGAAGATTGCCTGAGTCTAGGGGGTCGAGACCAGCCTGGGCAACTTGGCGAGACCTTGTTTCGACAATAAATAAAAAAATTAGCCAGGTGTAGTGGCGCACACCTGTAGTTCCAGCTACTAGGAAAGCTGAGAAGAAAGACCGAGGTTGTCGTGGCCGTGAATGTGCCAATGCACTCCAGCCTGGGTAACAGAGTGAGACTCCAATTCAAAAAAAGAAAAAAAATAGACCTTGATCCAGATACCATCCCTACCAGTGTCTCTTTAGAATACAAGCAAGTTGACTAAAACATACATAATGCCTAAACATACTAAATTTATTTGAAGTAAATAATCTAAGTCATCTGATTACAAATCATAACCATATCGAAGTCAACCAACACCCACCCCCCCCTCCAGCCCTGGCTTCTTTTCAGGCTAAAGGGTTAATCTCTGAGAATGACCAGATGAAAGACAATGGTCAAACAGGTCTTGAGAAGTGATGATTTAAGAACAAAAACAATGAGTAGCAACAGTGACTCCTCAGTTGGACAACAGCGGGGTTCAGAAATGAGGGAAACCAACTGCTTTGGGGGCTAAAATCTGACTATATTAAAGCAAGTCTTGTAATTTTTAGTGGTGTATCTCCTAATATAAACCCTTGGATAAATGCTGGATCAATGAATTTGGATAAAAACATGGTTTGTTTCTGTTTTTGAGTTGGAGTCTCTGTTGCCCAGGTTGGAGTGCAGTGGCATGCTCACGGTTACCCTAGCCTTTACCTGCTGCACTCAGGTGATCCTTCCACCTCAGCCTTCCAAGTAGCTGAAACTACAGGCGCATGCCACCACACCCGGCTAATTTTTAAATTTTATTGTAGAGACGAGGTCTCACCAAGTTGCCCAGGCTGGTCTCGAACCCCTGGATTCAGGCAATCCTCTTGCTTCGGTCTCCCAAAGTGCTGGGATTACAGGCTTGAACCACCATGCCCAATCAATAAAAATGTTTTACTACTGTCTTTAGTATTAAAGGCACTTTTGCGTATTATTCTGAAAACTTGTTTGAGAGATACAGATCCAAAGGAAGTCAACATCACCTAAGTTAGATAAGAATAAGGTTACACATATTGTCAGCCACAGTTCCCTTGTTCTATTTAAATTTTTGCATGTTAAGTAGAAAGCTGCAATCAACTTCTGAGCATGGCTCTCACTTTATTGTAGCACCAAGAAGGGCACTGAAGAACATTTCTCCTGCACCTGAGGAGACCTGCAGTGTACTTGCCTTGCCTGAATTGAGCTCGGAAGCCTCTGCTCTGTCCGGAAGAGCCAGACAGAAATCTCACAAAGAGGCTGTTTCCTGAAGAGATGATGGGAGTAGTCAGCTGCTCTCTTCCACACATCCTGGCAAGACGAGTGGTTACGGAGCTTAAACCATCATACACCTGCAAGAAAGCAGTGGTTCAGAACTTCAGATTGACATCTAGACGACCTGTGTTCCATGGATCACCTGTACATCAATGACCTTGTGGAAAACCACACATTTGCTGGATCTAGTGAAACTGGTCTAATTTTCTTGTCATATCACACAGCTCCATGGAGATGCGTGCGTCTTTGGTCATTTCTAAGGACACTTACATGAATTTCGATAGGAGTTTCTCTGTCAGAGTCACTATTAGACCTCTGGATGTCTTTGTAAATGCTGTCCCTCCAGCAACTTTCCTTTCTCCCCTGGCCCCTGTGGAGTCACATCATAGACCATACTCACAACATGGGCTGAAAACGTTTAGTGCAAGAATGCATATATGAACAAATGGATGAGAAATATTGATGAGTAGCCACTTGCCAAAAACCCAGGATTTGTTGGGTCTGCTAGTTCTTCAAAGGATAATGATCAAGAAGGAGGAGAAAAGGCTGAATTCTTTCAAATGATATGCGTGATATGAGACTGATTTAGGAATTTCTCTCATATATTTTTTTTAATATAATGGGCTCTGTGCCCAGTGCTATGCTTAGCTGACCCTCTGGGCGTAACAATGGAATAGCGTTTACATCACATATACCTGAAATCTCTGTATTGGTCTGGGGAATTGAAGCTCACTCATTTGCTTGGAACTCTGTGTCTAGTATGAATTTTTAAATGCTCTTATGTGTAAGCCAGGAGAAAATGAGTTCCTTCGCTTTAGATGGTAATAATCATGCTTGCCATGGGCTAGGAGGTGAATTCAGCTGTTCTTATACATTCTAAGGAGACAGAGAATCTAAGTAATGTGGCCAGTCACACAATTCCCGAGGGAGCAGGTCACCTTGAACTAGACAGCTAGATTCTAGAGTTCAGATTGAAACGCTCTCATTTTTTTCAATGTAAGATATCAATTAAGCGGGATAGACACATCAACCTGTCAACCACCAGAGTGGGACTGAAAGTGTGAAGTTAAAACATGGCTGTGCCATTTTACATAAATTGCCATTTATGTTTTCTAAGAAAACCTTGCGGGAACAAAAGAGAAAGTCCATGGATTTAACACAAAGGAGGAACTCACAAGTGACCTTAAATATCTAGTGATGATTATAATCAGAGTTCTTTTTAGCACATGAGGCTATCCTCAGTTTGATTTATACAAGCTCATGAATTAGATGTCAATAGGATTTTTAACTCTCTGAAGGAGGGAGCTAAAGCTTTTACAATAATAATTTTTTTCAATTTTTAATTTTATTTTAAAGATGTGGGGTACAATTCAGGGTTAGGCATACAAGTGGTCATCAAACAGGTAAAGTTTGGGCTTCCCTTTGGTCCCCACTTTGCCTGGTTTGAGATCTGGCACCCTTATTGATGTTGTGTCCTCCCCACCCCCACTCTGGCAGTTTCCGGCTACTGCCAATCCCTTTCTTGTAGTACAGTAATAAATTTTTCTTAATCAACTCAAACTATAGTTTCCAATCTTGCATTACTACTTCCTTTGAACACTTTGAACATCATGAACACTGGGCAAAACAACATAAAAACCATTATTACAAAACCTCTTACTATATTTACATCCCAGCCTACTTTCAAATATTACCACCATTGGTTTAATTCAAGTCTTTTATTATCTCTATACCTTGGTTTTAGACCTTTCTAGCATATAGGTATAATTTAGTATTGCTCTAGTAATACTATCTTAGTTTTAACATCAAAGAATAGAGTACCTTCTTAGAACACTTAGGGTTACAGAGTCTGGGGCATATAACAGTTGACTCTTAGTCAAGGCATAAGACTATTTGCTTCTTTCAAGATGATTTATTTGTTTGGTTGTTTGTTTAGAAGAGCATTTTTTAATTTTTATAAAAGTAGTTTAATATTCAAATTTATTAATATGTCATTTATATATGTTTTATTGTGTTTCTAATGGACATATAATAATTGAACATATTTATGGGGTACAGTGTAATATTTCAATACTACACTTTGTATAGTGATCAAATTATGGTATCTAGCACATTCATCATCGCTAAAATTTATCATTTCTTTGTGGTGAGAATATTCAGAAGGCTTTCCTTTAGTTATTTTGAAATAGACACTATAATCGTGGGTGTTATCACCCCCCTATTGTATTATAGAAGATCAAAACTTGTTTTTCTTATTTAATTGCAATTTTGTACTTTTTGACAAATCTCTTCCTATCATTTCACCCTACCCTCGCAAGTCTCTGGTAATCACTATGCTAATCTGTACTTCTATGAGATCACCTTTTTTTAGATTCCACAAATGAATGAGATCATGTGGTATTTGTCTTTCTGTGCCTGGCTTATTTCACTTAACGTAATGACCTCCAGGTTTAGTCTTATTGCCACAAATAACAGGATTTCCTTCTTTTTTAAGACTGGATAGTATTTCATTGTGTATATGTACCACATTTTCTTTATCCATTTATTTATCATTTATCATTTATCCATGAATGAGTCTATTCAACTTCAAAAGAAGATGTACGAATGGCCAACAGGTACATGAAAATTGCTCAATGTCACTAATCATCAGGGAAATGCAAATCAAAACCACAATGTGATATCAACTCACCCCAGTTAGAATGATTGTTATCAAAAAGACCAAATAATAATAATAATAACAAATGCTAGTGCAGATGTGGAGCAAAGGAAAGCTTTATACACTGGTGATGGGAATATAAATTGGTACAGCCATTATGGAAAATTATGGAAGTTCTTCAAAAAATTAAAAACAGAACTTCAATTAATCCAGTAATCTCACTATTGGGTTTTTTTCCCTTTTCTTTTATTTATTTATTGATTGATTGGTTCATGGGCCCAAGCTGGAGTACAGTGGCACATTCATGGCCACCGCAATCTCGACCTGCTGGGCTCAGGCGAGCCTTCCAACCTCAGTTTTCCAAGTAGCTGGAACTCAGGCATGCGCTACCATGCCTGGCTAATTTTTTTGATTTATTGCAGAGACGAGGTCTCGCCATGTTGCCCAGGCTGGTCTAGAACCCATGGGCTCAGGCAATCTCTCGCCTCTGCCTCCCAAAGTGTTGGGATTACAGGTGTGAGCCACCGCACCTGGCTCTACTGGGTATTGATACAAAGGAAATACAAATCAATACATTAAAGAGATAACTGCACTACCATGTTTATTGCAGCACTCCACAAAAGCCAAGATGCGGAATTAACCTAAGTGTCCAACATTTTTTGGTTTCTTAAACTCTAGTGAAACACTAGGCTCTATGAAGCTTATAGATTAACTCCACACACACACAAAAAAAATTGGAGGAGTTTTTCAAGTCTATGGACTCTAAAGCAAGACCTTCCCCAAATTCAGAAGTCCAGTGAATGAGTAGATATTTCTAAGTCATTGTTTTCAGTCTGAGTGGTTACAATTCTCTCAAGGGTCAACAAAAAATAAGGAAAAAGGTAAACTAGAAAGTTAAGGCTAGAAACTTCAGAAAATCACATGAATGAGCCATTTCCTTGTGGAACCTTTGAAAAGTGCACATTCAGCAGGTCGAGGTTGCGGTGACCGGGAGCAGCCACTGCACTCCAGTCTGGACAACAGAGTGAGACTCCAACTCAAGAAAAAAAAAGCGCACATCATCCAAGAGGTCTCCAGGCTTCCCGGGCTTTCCTGGTTTCCTCCCCACCTCCCAACACACACGTAAAAACAATGTTGAAGTTATAAGACCGCTGCTAAAATTCATCTGTCTGGAGCATTGCTTCACAAGGAATGGAACCAAAATAGCAAATTTCCAAATGTCCCTGAACTGAAATTATACACCAGTGATGCCCCAAATGTGATGAGCCTGTTATCATTTTACAAGTTCCATCACAAATATTCTGATCTACTCCTCAATATCACGTGACTTTTAAAAATGAAGACAGTAAGACCAATGTGCAAGCTATTCAATTATTGTCTCATCCAATGTAAGCTAGTAACTCATTCAAGCTCACATAGCTAGTGAGTAGAAGAATCTTCTTTCATCATCTTCTATATTTACCATATTACTTCTCTTTTCAATGTTCGGGTATATTTTAGTCTCTCTGGTGCTACTCTAGCCAAATATCTGACTGAGACTGGGTCATTTATAAAAAGCAGAAATTGATTTCTCACAGTTCTGGAGGCTAGGAATTTCAAGATAAAAGTGCCAGGAGTTTAGGGTTGGGTCTGTCCGCTTCCAGAGATGAATGTTTTGCCCTCTCCATGAGAGGAATGTCATGTCCTCTTGTGGCAGAAGGGCAGAAGAGAGAGAAGTCACTCCAGCAAGCCTTTTCTTTTGTAGCAGCAATAATCCATTCATGATGGCAGGGCCCTCATTACCTAAACACCTCCCAAAAGGTCATATCTCCCAATACTGTTGAACTGGGGATTAAGTTTTCGACACATAATTTTGGAGAGAAAACATTAATACTATAGCATGATAGTTATTAAATTTTATGTAGCTAATTGTCATACGAAATTTGAAAACTTCAGGCTATCAAGGAGGAAGTGTGTTTTTTTTAAAACGAGTTTGAAATATCAATTCTTTTATTTTACAGTGTTCTTAACAGTTGTGATAGCAAATCAATATTTTCACATTTAATGTTTTAATTTATAAAATTATAAGAAAAGCACTGTAAAGAAGAAAATATGAGAAATCTTGCTCTCATTTATTTAAAAGTCTAAAGTCATAAAAATTATCAATATACAGCTTCCCTTACTTCCTTTTAGTTCTCAAGGCAGAGCTAGCAAATTACATTACTATCGGATACACACAATATATTAATAAAACATATAATTTTTACTTAAATCTGCTGCCAAGAGTTTTCTAGGCACGGGAATTGATTTTCTGATCGTTACTTAAGTGGTAAAAGCCAAAGCAATATACAAACAAAATAAAACTTTGTATATCTCAATTAACTCATTTCTAGATGACACTAATAAAATTAAATGTTAAAGTTGAATCCACAAAAGGAAAAA